AAATAGGACTCTACTTTTTGATTGAAATAGGACTGCACTAGCATCTGCAAAAGGCAAAGCATGACCTATCATGTAGTACTTCGGGTGTCGATCCACAGGGAAAAAATGGGAGAACTGGTTGGTTTGCACAAGTTCAAATATCTTGGCCTAACCTAATTTGTAGAAACCTGCGGCCTAAATTAAAGACTAATTCTAAACTAAAGAAAATAGAAATCGCCTAAGGCGCGTGCGGCCAAGGTCTTCCATAGGAGCTCGAAGGAAGAGGTTCTGAATAACTATACAATTTATAAGACGCAGTGGATTAGCTAGACATTGAAAAGTTGCCACTCTGAGGGAATTTGTTTTCATAAGCTACAGGTGCTATAAAGCAATCATGTACTGAGTACCAAGCTATTCCATTATAGTGAGCAGTATCAAATACATAACAAGCAATAGAAGCATCCTGGCAGGTGTATAGAACTAGCAAAGTGGTTTAGGGAAGGGCATACGAATAGGCAGTTTGGCAAGTGAGTAGTTTAGGTCCTTTAGACCAAAGAAAAGGCCGGGAGCATTTAGGTAGGCCTATCACTCAACCGGCGGCAGCCGATCAACTTATACTAACCGCGTTGGCAGAGCTACTCAATGACTCATTAGATCGACGAATTTCCCCATCTGCGCAGGGATTCCGCAAGGTTCTCGGCCCTTCTTCCGTGCATTAACTCAATGGCCGTCTATGGATTCTATGGTTCAGGTGGACGTGGTCAAGTGTTTCGATAGCATAGACCATCGGTTACTACTTGAACATTTATCTAAGCTCTTAGGTACAGATAACGCTCCTCTCATTGACCTCATCAATTGCTTTCTCAAGACACCGAGACTTTCTAAGAAAGGGAATGACTACTCAAACAGTGAAGTCGGCCTTCCACAAGGATCACCGATCTCACCTGTTTTGATTCAATCATTCCTGCATCAACTCGACTTGCAATTCGATGCTATGGCCCAAGAGGAGAATGGGGATTCTACCAAGTATGTCTATTTCGCTCGCTACGCAGACGATATACTATTCAGCATTCCTATCGTAGGTGTTGGCGTCATGTCTAAAGTCTTCTTTCGAAGGCTGCAAGAAGTTCTTGACCGTATGTCCAGTAAGCTACGCTTGAAATTAACGTCTATTGTACTGTAATGATGGAGGGCTCCCGCAGTCGAGGAGGGCAAAGATAGGTTTGCAAACCAGATTATTGGTTGTTACATTTAGACACATGAAATGCTAGATGTTATATGCAGCAAGGTCAAAACTAGGCTTTTATTTGTCCCTATAGAAAGATTATTCACCAAGCACCAGGAAATCTTTAGCTTTGCCATAGAGTGACAGTCCGGGGGAGTAGGAGAGAGGAAAGAGGCAAATGAGAAAGAAGAAGGAGCAGGGTCGAGTGAAAGAATTGGTACATTGGGTTCCCCCCACCGAGCGGAGCCAAAGGAAAGATAAGGGTTGAGGTAATCGCTATGAGTGTTCAGGCTATTCCGCTTATGCTCGCGGATGCGGATAAGAAGCTATCAAAAGGGGATGATAGCAGCCACCCATATGGGCAGCTAGAAAGAGAACGAGGAAATGTGAATCACGATCCTTATTCGGTAGAGGAGTCGGGGGACATTGGTTCGAATCCAATTCGTGAATATCAGAAAGCATTGTTTCTCATTGAACTATATACGATACGCGCGCACGAGGAAGGGATAAATTGATTGCATTGTTGTCATTTTCCATCAGATTCTTACGGATGTAGTGCAAAGTAAATGTTTCAGTCAAAAGTAAGCTGCCGACTATGATGAATGCCAGCCCGATCTGTAGCTGATCTTTGATCCCGAGCTTGAGCTTCTCTTTGATGTTGGGTGAATTGAATTTCATATATGGAGAAATGTGTCGCTAGTCCAAGTCCGCCATAGAATTGTTTGTCTATCACTTCGGCAACGAAGGTCATTTCTTTAGAAGATCGATACTGGTAGTTGCTTGCGGTGTCTGAACAAGTTTCGAAAAAACTATTGTGTCTGCATTTTCCTAAAGATTGTTGTGAGGCTGATAGTGATATCTTTCCAATAACTGACTCAGCAAGTTCAATTGAGGTATCATTCGATTGAGATTTCGAACCGTGTAGTGGTTAGGATCCTCTTATTGCCGTCAAGGGCTATTTTGGTCGATTCCAGCCAGAGAGTTATGAATAGAAATAGCAGACCTGATTCGAGACAACAGGAAATTCCCGTTTGCAGATATACATTTCTCAGGTTCAGGCTATTCGTGGAGTCGATCACCACCACTTGAGATAGACGATCAACTTCATTAAAGAAGCAGTCATCTCTATACAGGAAGCAGCATGTTTTCTATGGTCCTATGAAAAGGTTCCAGTGGGTTTCTCTTGCTGAATGGTGGTAAAACACCAGCTTTCATTCCTCACTGCAAGCTACTCCTTTTGCTGCTTTTTCTCACTCTTTGCCTGGGCCAACGATAGATTAGTCTCTGGGTCGGTCAAGTGATAAATTGGCGATTAGTTAAGGAAACTGGGACTTCTAATTGTTCGCGAGGGATGGCTAAATAACCTACTTTGCTTTCCATTTAGGGTAATAGGATGCCACTACTTGACCTTGCTTGCCCAGACACAAGAAAACCTATAGTTTGGGTACTGCCCTTCGTGGTGCTTGCTTTCCTATAATCTGTAAAGCTTTAGCTTTTAGAGAAGAGATTTCAATATCCGATTGCTTTTCTGACTGGAATTCTCTAGTTCACTTCACTTCTATGCAATGTCATTTCTTGATTCAAAGTACTTATTTTCTGATTGGAATTTTGATCTCTTGGCAACAGGTTTCGCTTCTGCTGAGGACAAATTGAACAAGCTACTTCTCAAGTCTGGGTGGGCTTTTGAATTCAGAGAAGGGAATTCCAGTTCTGATTCTAGTATCTGTGCTCTGTTCAGTTCAGTTCAAGATGGGAAAGTATTGCTTGTTTCCTAGAATCCTAAAAGGGGTGCTTGTTTTCCTCATCCAGGCTCTCCTCTCCCCTTTCTGTCCCAACCTTCATTCTTGCTTTTCCGCCAATTCACTAATTGAAATAGTTCAGATCCAGCACTTATATCCCTTTTATATATATATAGAATCAGGTATCTGCTTTCCATGGTTCCTGATTTCGGTATCTTTCTTGTCTGCACTTGATGAAATCCCTTTCTTTTCTTCTTGGCATACAGATTGGATTCTTGTTGATCCAATCGGAACTCTTGAATTGAGGGGTGGTCGTGAAAGAATCATTGTTTTGATGATATGAATGAAAACAAGAGATTTCATTCTTCATGGCATATTTCAAGACTAGGGTACCTGCATTCTAGGTCTAGGACTTGTTGCTTCGGATCAGTTCCCTTTAGAAGCAGCTTTCCTCTTCTTCAATCTCGAATCCCGAAGGGGAGGCTCTAGTTGCCAAGTAAGAAAAGATCTCGGTAGTTCAATTCATGCATGTGAAAGCTTATCTGCCAGATACAGATGATACTTGCCACTACTTGACCAAAACTGGGACTTGAGGAGGAATGAAATTCTAAGGGAAATCAATCAACTAATTGAAATAGTGATATCGGTATCGGAACTCTGGAGAAGGACCCGGCCTAAGCGCCCTCTTGAGACTTGGACTCGAACGAGGGAAAGATTAGTGGGTCAATAACCAAGTTCCCCGGTTGGATTCCAGTATCTGATCAAGCCGAAGTAAGCAAGTTCCGGATTTGAGTTTCCTTTTCTGACTTGAATTCAAGTAGGATTCCACATCCACTCGGTATTCTAGCTGTACCAAGTCTTTTTCTTCACTCTTTAGAGGGAAAGTATGCTTTGGATTTTCTCAATGATACAGGTATGATTGCCAACCCTGCTGCATTGTCTTGATCTCTCCCTGGGATTCGGAACTTGGATCTGGGAAAGGAGGCTTAAGAAGAATATGACTCCATATTAGTAGTAGTATGTTGCACTAGACTCATATGATTAGAAAGCGATAGAAGTTATCGAAAGCAAAAAAGGATAGGGGCAAGAAAAGGGTTTGAAAGTTCATTCTCACCCCTACAAACTTTCTTTTCTTCTTGGCGTACAGAATTCTCTGCCTTTAGTCATCCTTAGCGCGAACCATCTTCTTTTCGAAGGACGGAGTCGAGACTCCTATCTATTCGTAACACTTGCACGATGAACTATTCGTCCCACTATCTCCCTTTCCATGAGACCTACTATACCCCTTTTCTACCTATACCTGGCTAGACTTGTGTACCTCGATTTACGTACATTCACCTAATTTACTAACGTCATTGCCTGCAATCGAGCAAATACCAATAAGACATTGATCTCTAAGGAGCTGCTACGATTGATTGTTCGAAAGTCGAAGTCATTTCGTTAAGTCAATTGAAAGGTGGGTTTTGTCAGTAATAAAATGGAAAGGGGGATGGGGGGAGGTGAGCCGGTTACGCTTTAAGTGAGGAGACAGGAGCTCTCGAGCTTAGATAAGTTCCCTAGGTCAGACAGAGGTCTAGGGGGAGTCCGAATAGAGGACTCTTTTGACCGGTGAGCCCGCAGATTAGGAAGGCGGCCTGCCAACTGCGCAAACAAAGCGACTCCTTGTTGGTGAAAGATAGGTGTTGGTCCGATTCACCTATGTCTGTTCAAACCTGATGAGTCGTTCGTTCGTGTGGAGAATCTCTCTCCTTTTCTTCTAAGTCTTGCTTCATTAAGTTACTTGCTCTCTCAGCCTCATAATAATAATCAATATTCAAATACTTTATGCTAAATTCTGTATAGCAATCTTCCATCACCAGTTCAATTCTCGTATTTCGTATGTACATGTTCATGCGGCTCGGATGAGTATAGTTATTTATATCGCGACAGCTATAAATAGTTCCTTGTTCCCATTAACAAAAGATCCCCTTTTTCTTCGCTCTTCCGGAACCGGTACAGAAATTGGTGCTTTTTCTACTTTGTTTACGTTAGTGACTAGGGGGTTTCAGGGAAGGCCTATGTGGGGTACCTTTCGGGTGTGGGATGCTCGTTTAACTTCTGTATTCATCTTGTTCCTTATTTACCTGGGTGCACTGCATTTCAAAAAGCTTCCTGTCGAACTGGCTCCTATTTCAATCCGTGCTGGACCGATCGATATACCAATAATAAAGTCTCCAGTCAACTGGTGGAATACATCGCATCAACCTGGGAGCATTAGCCGATCTGGTACATCAATACATGTTCCTATGCCCATTCCAATCTTGTCTAACTTTGCTAACTTCCCCTTCTCTACCCGTATCTTGTTCGTTCTGGAAACACGTCTTCATATTCCATCTTTTCCCGAATCTCCCTTAACGGAAGAAATAGAAGCTCGAGAAGGAATACCACTAAAAACCTAG